TCATATTTATAAAGCATTTGATCTCCCTTAAAGGATTGAATCTAATACATAGATTCCTTCATTTTATTTGGGTGTATTAATGATTTAGGTTTCAAACAATCTTATCAATTGATCACTTAAAGATGAAAGATCATAGGTTCATAATTGTAATGCAATTAATTTCCTGTGCAGGGTCAAATCAAGATTGTAGAGTCTTTTGGTTCATTTATTTTCTTTAACTAAGGTATTGTATTTTATCATATTATTTTAAGTTAATTGGTAATTATGTTTATAAATTTTAAATAACTTTTATTTTTACTAGTTGTTCCCTGATTTTAATTTATTTAATTATTTACTTTTTCTATTTTTAGAATTTATTTAATTATTTATTATTATTTAATTTACTTATTAATTTAGAGGACTAACTTTGAATTTGATTTGTACTTAATATTCAGTTGGTTTATTGTTTTTTAAGAAATTCAAGATTTAAGTTGGATTTAAATAAAAACTATTTTTTTTTCTAATTTTTGGTACATTTGTTTATAGTTTTTCTACAAAATTAGCCAATTAATTGAATTAAAATTTCAAACTATTAGGCTATTTTTTATTTTTGAACAAATCAATTCCAAACCTTTTGAAATCATCACTAGATGTCATACATGAGCTATGAAGATGATTACAAGAGTTTTAAAATATTTAAAAATTTCTTTTTACTTTATATTTTTTTATTTATTTATCTAATGAATTTTCTTAATTTTAAATTAATTTTTTATTTTTAAAGTTTTTAATGGGTCTTTTATATAGAGAATAGGGATTGTGTTGAAATTAGTCACATGTTAACCTATACACAATACATTAATAAACCACAAACAATTAAACCCTAATTCTTTATGGATTTGTATTTAGAGTGATTTTAATATCTACATAAAATCTTGTCCAAAAAAATAAAAATTCCTCAATCAAAGAGCATAAAGGATTCAAATAACCTTAAAAAAAATTTTATATGTTAAAGGCATCTCCAAAAATTTTCAATTTAAATACGAGCTTAATGTAAATTATACTTAATGAATAAATATTTAAATACCCTATAAAGTCTTTTTGCATATATTAAGCATACTTTTGGGTGAAGGTTATGATAAAGACTTTAATCTTGATCAAATTTTAAATTAGAAATGCAAAGCCAAATTAAAATTAAAAATCCAAATCAAACCTCAACAAAAATTCAATGTTCAAATAAAAACCTAAAACCCACTTGGTCCATATCCTATTTTTGGAGAATTTTTAACCATCACAAAACCCCAAAAAGGACAATATAATAATGATTAGTTACTTACATATCAATTAAGCATGGCTCTAAGGTAATACATACCAATTTGGAAGCATTCAATTCTTACTAATGTCTTAAACGGAAATATTTCCCAAGATAATGAAACATTTAAATTTTTATTGCTTATGCCATTAAACATGCCTTATTAGAGGAATTGAGCTTGAGAGCCTCCCAAAATCCATTACGAATGATCATTATTATAAGCATGATGTATTGATCCAATATTGAACCCTTGAGGAGTCTGGGGTGACCATGAAACAACTTAAACCTTAAGCTCCAAAATCTATTAAAACCAAACTTTCCCTTAAACCATACATGGCTAATTCAAACTAACCATAAAAATCCTTCTTACAAATTTTAATAAGGTGATTTAGAGTGCATTAAACCTAATTATAAGCCATGGTCAAGCTAGGTTGGCCAAGTTAACTGTGGTTGACCAAATGATTGATAAAGCCCTTAAATGTGCATTACATGGAAAGGGTTTACCCCATGACGTGGTACCAATTCCATTAAGATCAAAATAGCTTTTAGAATTTATTTGACCCAACCCCGATAGACTGTAAGTAGAAGCAGACAACTTGTCAAGTTGTATTAAGGGGCACTTACCACATGAACTTTGGACATTATTCTTTACTTTATAGTTTGGTTGATTGATTTATTTACATTGATTGTTCACTAGAATTTGCTTATTTTTTAAAGTTTTCTTTCTTACATTTTCCTCTGCCTATATATTTTTGTAGGCTCTTAGAAAATAAGAACATTTTCTACTCATAATGAAATAAAAATTTTAAAATTAAATAAAAAGATAACCAAACTTAATAAGTAAGTAAGAGATCATATGGAGTTGAATAAAAGAATATCCTTCTTCTCTCCTTCTAAGGAACCTCCTCACCTTTAGGTAAAAGCAAACAACTTGACCCGTGAGGTTGTAGTTCTAACTCAGAGGAGGTCGTTAAACTAAAATTTATTTTCTTAGCTTTTTTAAAAGTTCACATACTGATTATTGCATAAGAGTGAATTTGTATATATTGTATTAAGAATAAATTAAATAAAAAAATTAATTACATTTTTTATTGGTGCATAATGACCATTCTTAAGTTCAGGGTAACAACAAATTTTTTTAGACATCGGCCTTATATTTTAAAAACTACATAATAAACATCTTATGAGTCTTTCATTTTTCCAAATAGCATGGTTTTAAAGTGATTTGGTGGTTCAACTAGCTTTCTAACTCTAGACAATATATAAAAGTCCACATAATTTATTCACCTTTGCACTTCGTTAGACTAGGCTCAACTCCACTTCACTATAATGGCTGAACATCGATCTAGGATTTGAGTCAGTCCTCATACTCTAAAAATATAATCCCATCTATCTAATAAATTGTCAACTCAAATATAAGATTTCCTTCTAAAATATTAAAGCCCAATATAGGATAGAATTTAGTGCTTCTGGGTAGTCCATAGAATTTAGTGCCCCCTACCTTTTATTCTTTAGCCTCTAAAAATATTTTTCAATGTTGAACCAATCCCCTTTGAAAAATACAAAAATTCTTCTCATTGGCTTAATTTTTTAAATCTATTAAAGTATTTACCACTACATTAATCAAGATTATTCTTAGGACATGTTTTAAAATGTAATTAACCATAAAGGCTTACCTTTACAAGAAACCTATAATTCTAAATTAAAATTAAACCCTATCTTATTTTTATGAGGTAGGGGAAAAATCACTAGAAATGTAAACAATTTTTTAAAACTTACTTTTGCATTTAGATAACTTTATAACATGTAATGTTCACATTTTGAGGTGGTCTGATATTCTTGCTATAGTATTTGCTTATAGAAATGATAGTTTTAAAAATTTATTTTTGCATTCAAATACCTTTTTAGAATATCTTTTAGGCCTTTCAAGGTTATATGGTGCTTTCATTGATGTACTTGGTAATAGAAATGATAAATTTTATAAAACTTCATTTTTATTTTTATACTATTGTAGAATACCCTATCTATCATTCAATAAGATTGCAGATAAATTTTATGTTTGCCTATAATTTATTTTAAAATCTTTATTTAATTAAATATGCATAGATTAATATTGTACCATCTCAAAGAACAAACTAATGTTTTAATATTGATTAGAAAATGGAAACTTTCATTTTTTTCATAATCAAAAGTAGTATAAGAAATATCAAATTCATCATAAGGATAAAAGGAATATTCACTTAATATTTTAATCTTGAAACAAACTTAATGAATTCATTTTTTTAACCAAACATCATAAGGAATATTCAATTCACCCGAAAGGATAAAAGGAATATTTACTTATCATTCTAGCCATTAAACTAAATTAAATGAATTTATTTTCATAAACATATATAATAAGGAATATTCAATTCATCTCTAAGGATAAAAAGAATATTCACTTATCACTTTGATTAAAAAAAGCAACTAATATTTAAAGCTTGGTCTAATCCACAAATTTTTTTCATATCTTAGAATGGAACTAAGGTAGGGTTTATTTGAATTCTTGGTTCTAGACTTCTTGTAAGGGTAAACCCTTATAGTTAATTAAATCCTCAAGGAGAATACCAGTGATTAAAGTAAAGTCTAAAGTTTTTAAATTCATATAAATTTAAATAAAGGTTTAGGCTATCAAGATATTAATATATAACCTTTAGATTATAAATCATTTATTTAGATTTAGAATTTAGATTGAGACTTTAGATTTTGGATTTTTGAATGGAAAAATAGGAAAAGAAAGTGTAGTGACCGAGGGGAGTATAAAATCTGGACTTATACTTAGCTTGAGTATGATTCCATCAAAGAATCCTAAGCATAATTAATCACCAGATGTATATAAGATTATATGGATCTATCCTAGGAATCAAGGAATTTTAATTTAGGAAATTTTAATCAAGACTTTATAATATGCATAATAAACTAATGCATGAATAATAGTATACTAAACAAACTTTTATTAATCAAGAATTTCCAACATGTAGGGGTCTGTTGTAAAGTAAAAGTGGCAAGGTTCCACAAAGAATAAGCCTAGATTTCTATTTCTATATACTGTAGATTTAGATGTGATTGTTTAATTATTCTTATAAATTTCTAACATCTAGATCTTCTATAAAAATCTAAAATATGATGTGATTCAAACAAAAAAAGAATCATTTGCTTTTGGAACACACACACACACACACAGACAAACAAACATATATATATATATATATATATATATATATTAAAAAATTTATAACTTTTGACACTTTTCAACTTAATTTTGCTCTTTAGGTATCTAAAAATATTCATTTATATTTTCCATTACATTTTCTTAAAAGAATATAAAAGAAGAGTTCATAAATAAAATAAATATACAAATATAATATAGTGTTTTTTGTTTTTTGAAAATTGCCAATAGCATTAAAAAAGAAAAAGAAAAGCCTAATACAAACTACTAAGTGATAGAACGGCTATCACTTTCCTCCTTTAACAGAATATGAAAACTTTAGATTCCTATTAGAGAGAGAAGCTACTATTAGAGAGATGCTCCCATTAGAGAGAGAAAGTTTTTTTTTCAAATTTCGACACTCCTAATTTTTCCTCTTATGATTTGAAAGGGTTGTTGGACATTGTGGTGGACATCCGCCGGACATCACTGCCTTTGAATGTGAAAGCAACATCTGCAGGTTGAATGGTTATGCTGAATAAGAATGAGCAAGGACGTCTAGTGACAAGAGTTGATTGCGATGCTGATGATGTTTGCAGGCGTAGATCTAAAGGTGAGCTATTCATTACTAAAAATGTAGTTTTTTAAACTTTGAAGGTTAAACATGTTGAAGGTAAGGGTAAACATATTTCTTTGAATGTTGATGGCAAGACTCAACGTGTTTTGAAATCAACTGGTTTTTCTCCCCCAAAATCATTTGATCCTAAGGCTTCTTTATCGGGTATGAAACTTTTTATTAATAGATTTGGGAATTCAAATGTAATCCCTATTATTTATAGTGTGATAAATGTGAATTCCTTGAGTTCAATTAACAAAAATATTCATAACAATGTTAAGTTGGTGGTGGTTCCTTTGGAGAAGGCTGTTGTGAGTATTGAGTGTAATGTAGTTCCGGTGAATGTGAATATGTTAGAGAATAGTGAGGAAGCTAGTAGGATGGTTAATCCTTGGAATAAAAAATCGTATATCAAGTAAAATTTCAATAGGGAGAATATTGTTTTAACTGAGGTTGTAAAAGCTGTAAAATTAAAGGATGCTACTGAAATAATGAATGCTAAGAGGCTTGAAAACTCATTGGTTACAAAGGTATTAGGTAGAGAAATACCATTTCATCTAGTGGCTTGGGAGTTGAGATGACAATGGGCACTTTTTCATCAATTTCATTTTACAACCTTAGGAATGGGTTGGTATTTGTGGTCATTCAAGAAATTGGATGCAATGGAAGGAGTTATTTCGAGCAGTCCATGGTTTGTGAATGGTCACATTGTTGGAAAGGAATGGTGGTTGACTAAATTCTTTCCTTCCTCAATGAAAGGTCTTACTTCACCTATATGGATTAGAATACCTCAATTTCCTCTACAATGTTGGGATGAAAACAACGTGGCTATGATTGCTTCTATGGTGGGTGTTCCATTGATGTTGGATGGAAATATGTTTCAATGGGGTAGGAGGGAGTTTGCAAGGGTTTGTGTTCGAGTGGAACTTGATAAACCTCTTCCCATGGGAGTTTGGGTGATAGGAAAGGCGGGAAGATTTTTTCAAAAAGTAGAGTATGAGCGAATTTCATCTTTTTGTTATGAATGTGGTATGGTTGGCCAAGACAAAGTAAATTGTAAGAAGGTTAGTATGGTGTTGATAAACAGTGTGGAAGTTACAATAAAAAAAGTTCAAGACAACCAAAATAAGATAACACAAGAGATGGAGGTTAAAGACAGTTATGGAACTTTGGTCCATGTTAATTACAAAAGAAATAAGAGGTATAGCAAAGCTGTGACTAATGTGAGGCCGGTATAGAAGCTATTTGCTAAGAAATCCAAAGCAAACCTGACATTGTTCAAACTGATTTATCTGTTAAGTTGAACAAAGGAATGGAGCTTGTAGTAAACAATGCAGTAGAAAAGATCAGTGAAGATAATTTTTTGGTAGAAGAAGGTGAAATTACTTTGGATGCAGAAATCTATATTGAAATCTTAGTAAAACTATTGGACTGCAACAACCGGTCTGATGATTCGGTGAAAGAACTTTGAGATGACAAGGTATTAAAATCAACTCATACTTCTTCTACTATCACTCTAGCCAATAAATTTCAAATTTTGAGTGAGGGTGTGGAGGAGAAGCTATTTCTTGAGGAAATTAATAACAAATCTATGAAGGGTACTAAATACAATTTAGAAGATGAAACTATTGTGGAGAGCAATATGTTGTCAGAAAATGGGAGCATAGGGGTGTTAGAGAAAAAGGAGGTTGGAGGTAATAATGAAGGGGCTAATATTAAACTAGCGAAAGAATTGAGAATGCTTGGGCCAGTTAAAATATTACCTCGGGTCAGGACATTAGATGGGAATGGTAAATTAAGAGCTGGGAGCTCTCCCCCCTTGGTTAATCAATGAATGCTATTGCATTCTGGAATTGTAGAGGAGCTAAAAAAAAGGAGGCCTCTCTCTACTTAAAAGAGTTTGTAAAAGATTTTAATGTGTTTTTTATTGGTTTGGTAGAGACTAAAATGTCTTCCTTTGATATAATGGCTTTTCAAAAAATGATGGGGGTGGATTTGGATTTCTATCTTCTTGAAAGTTCGCTAGGGATGTTAAGCCCTATAGAACTGGCCCAAGCTAACCAGGAGGGGGGGGGGTGAATTGGTATTTTAAAATTTCTTTTCACAAAGAATAAAAATCGCATAAACTCAAATCACACCACAAAAATAAATGCGGAATTAAAAGTGCGGAAGCAAGAAACAAGAACACAGAAATTTATAGTGGTTCGGTCAACTCGACCTACGTCCACTCCTTGGAGGCACCCTCCAAGTATTGCACTACAAAACGTGACTCTCCTTTAGCCCCCACGACTAGGCGGAGAAGCCCTCACATGAACCTCCTTTTTGCCACCCCGGCAAGGCAGAGAATCTATCTCCTTTTGCTTCTTCCTGAAGCTGGCAGAGAACCACAACCAAAAGCTAACTCCTTACCTCTACCGACCCTTCCACGGACAAGAAACTCTAGATGAAGAAGAAGCAGAGCGATCCTTGAAGCAACCCTTGTGAATCTTTTCACAAGCTCCCCCTTACAAGATCCTCTCTCTCTCCCACTCCCTCTTTCTCTCCTCAAGGCCTTCTCAGGTCAAGGCAGCAGCCAAAGGTCTATAAAAAATGTTGAACAAGAGCTCTTAAATAGAAGAGCTTCAAAGGAGCTCATTAATTGCAAGTTGCCGACTTTATCGTCCAGGCCGATATGGACATCGGTCTGGCCGATCAGAATAAATCCCAGAAGATCGGCCAGAGCATCGCCCTGGATGCACTTCTGGACGATTGAAAATTGGCTTGATCGTCCAGGCCGATATTAATATCGGCCTGGACGATCAGTTCAAATTAGGGGAAAATCATCCTGAGCATCGCCCTGGATACGAGCTGGCCAATATTTATCGTCCAAAAGTAACTAAAGGTTTTTTAATGGATCGTCCTGGCCGATCTTGCGATCATCCAGGACGATATGATCATATCAATCATCCTTAATTACTCCCTTAATTTCCTGATCAATTAAGGCATAATTTGAGAATTTCGTCCAGGCCGATCAATGATCGTCCTGGCCGATAATTTAAAAATATAGTATACCTTAATTGTCTATGGCGGCAATTTCTTTCTGTTTTGAGCTTATCGTCCTGGCCGATACACGTATCGTCCAGGCCGATATGTTAATGATGGCTGTCTTAATTAAGAATCCTTATTTAGACTTTTTGTTTTAAGCCTGATCGTCCAGGACGATGTAAATATCGTCCTAGCCGATATGAGTAAAAAAAGAAATTCTAAGTCTCTCAAGTGTGTGTGTGCAGGGCTACTTAGCATCAGTCTCTTTGACCATTACAAGAAGACTCAAGAAGTGAAAAACAAAAGTACAGACTGACTCAACCCTAATCCTATGCAATCCTGAACTGGCTTCGTCTGTTCGTCCGATCTTCGATTCCTGAAAAGTTAGAAGCAACAAGCAGTCCAAGAAAAATAGTGTTTGTCAATCATCAAAACATAAGCCATGAAAATAGATTTGTAAAACTTCTTCCATCAGCTGGACTATCTGGTGGCATTATGGTGATGAGGAGATTGGATCTTGCTTCTTTCTCTATTTTAAAGTCTTCGGAGCATTATGTAGTTGGAGAGTTGGAAGTGTTAAACAAGGGGACTTGGATGATTTTCACTATTTATGGTAGTAAGGATGTAATCAAGAGGAGGGATTTGTGGGGTTACCTTCCTGAGGTATCTCATAGGAAGGTCCCTTCTGTGATTGGAGGAGATTTTAACTATATTTTGGCTCAAGAAGATAAAAGAGGAGGAAGGAAATTTGTTTTTTTCTGAATGCTCCAAAGATTTGATAATTAATTTTATGAATCTCAATAATTTTCACGAAATTGGTGTGGTTGGACGAAGGTTCACTTCTTGTAATAACAAAAGTGGGGGAGGAAGGATCTTAGAGAGGTTGGATAGGTGTTTGCAGAATTTGTTTGCTTTGGAGAAGATAAAGGTGGAGGTTGAAAGGCACATTGCTAGAGTGGCCTCAGATCATTGTCCTGTTATTTTAAAAATATTTGATTCAACTATTAGGAAGATTTTTTTTTTTTTTTAATTTTGAAGATGTGAGGGTGTCTTTTCATGTTTCTTCATCCATTATTTCCAAAGTATGGAAAAAGTCCTATATTTGAGATGACATGCAAATTTTAAACAAAAAATGCAAAAAGAACATTAAAAGAATTGTTATTTTGGAGTAAAGCTAAATTGAAGGACTTTTTATCTCTTAAAGAGGGTTTTAAAGAAGAGGTGTTGCAATTACAAGAAGAGGAGGCTATGGGGGGCTGATTAGGTGAAGAAAAGTTGAAATTCTTGAGAAATAAAGTGGGTGAGCTTAATGTCCTCCTTGCTAGGTTGAATACTTGGTGGAGGCAAAGGGCTAAGGTAACATGGATGGAAGAAGGGGATTCTAACTCCAAATATTTGCATACCTTTGTAAATGCGAGAAAGAATAGAAACTAGATTAATCTTATTAAAGGGGCGGATAGGGTTATGGTGGAAAATCTGAAGGATGTAGAAGAGGTTTCTTTTTTTTAATTATTTCAAGGTGAAATAGAGGGGAAGGGTTTGTTCTTTACTTAATTGGCCGGCTCCTTGGAGAGTATTGGATGAAGATGATAGAACCAGTTTAGTGGAAGATTTTGGTTGTTTGGAAATTTTGGAAGTTATTAGGAATTTTAGAGAGAATAAAGCCCTAGGTTGTGATTGTATAAGTTATTCCTTCTTCAAATCCTATTGGAATATTGTTGACGAAGATGTATGCAAAGCTATCAATAAATTTCTCTCTTCGGGTAAGCTTTGCGATGAATGGAAAGATACATTAGTTGTGTTTATTCCTAGGTCAAAGATCTTATTTCTCCTTCAGGATACCGACTTGTAAGCCTTTGCAACTCAATTTATAAAATTGCAGCTAAGGTCTTATTAAATAGATTGCTTTTGGTGATTCATAAGGTTATATCAGAAGAACAAGTAGCTTTTGTGAAATGAAGAACAATTTCGGATCACTTACTTTAGGATCAAGAGGTTTGCAATAAAATTAGGTGTCCAAAAAGCTAAAGATGGTTTTTTGTCAATCAATTGATATGGAACAAGCATATAACAGTATGCGTTGGGCAACCTTGAGGGAAATGCTGAAGATTTTGTGTTTTCCTTCTAGATTTGCAGATTTAATGTTGGAATGTGCAAGGGATCCAATGTTCTCAATCATGATTAATGGAAGAAACTAAAGGTGAATTAAGGGAAGTTATGGCTTTCGACAAGGATGCCCTTTTTCTCCCTTATTATTTATTTTGTGCTCTCAATTATTGTTTAACTCTTCTGGGAGAATGGCTTGGATATTGGCATCAAACTATCAAAAAGTGCACAAAAAATTTCACATCTTTTGTATGTAGGTGAGATTCTACCTTTCTCTGATGCAATGTTAGAAAACATAAAATTAGTAAAGAAATTGATTCAAGACTATTATAAGTGGACAGGTCAAAAGGTAAATCTTCAAAAATCTTCAATGCTAATGGGGTAGAGTATAGGGAGAAGAAAGAAGAAACAAATTTCTAAGTTTTTCAATATAAAAGAGGTTGAAGAAATGGACTATTTGGGTGTTAAAGGTGCTTTAAGAAGATTGAAGAAATGTGATTTTCAACATCTCTTGGATAAAGCTACAAAAAGACTCAATGCTTGGGGAAACATATTCACCTCACTTGTAGGAAGGATAACCTTGATAAAGACTATCTTTCTTACACTCCCTTTATTTATTTCTTTCCATTCCTTGGTTCCCTTGAGTATTTTGAAATGGTTTGACAAGGCTTGTAGGAACTATATTTGGAATAAACATGATGGTTCTCATGGTCTTCATTTTTGTGGCTTGGGATATCTTGTGCAAACCGAAAGAATATGGAGGTTTGGGTCTATTTTAAGCCGTCTCTAGAGTGGTTCCTCTAAGAGATAGATTTGCTTGGAATATAGTTGAGAATCTAAATTCTTTGCTTAATAGGAACATTGTGGCTAAATATGGGAGTTGTTGGTAGAAGAATGATGGGAAAAAGAGTTCTTCGGCCACATGGAGGTTTGTAATGGATGGATGGAATTCTCTTAAGGGGATCTTAAGTTGGAATATAGCTCCAGGCTCATTGATTGATATATGGAAAGATGTATGGATTCTTGATCGATGCTTAGAAAAATGGCCAACATTTGTAACTAATTGGGAGGAAGTGAATGTTACTCTACGTTCTCTTTTGGTTAATAG